CAAGGTGAGTTCGAGGATAGCCTGAGCTACACAGTAAGACTTCGTCTCAGAAAGCCAAAAGGGCACTGGGGAGATGACTCGGTTCAGAGCTAAGCAACCATGAGGACAAGAGTTCAGATCCCAGAACACATAGAAAGTCAGATACAGTGGCTGGGGGATGGCTCAGTGGTTGAGAGTGTGGGTTGTTCTCACAACAGCAGGAGTTTGCTTCTCAGCACCCCTTGGGTGGCTCACAATTGCCTGTGACTCCCAACTCCAGAAAACTGGAGCTAGCCGTCAGCACCTGCCCACTGCATACCTGTACACAGAAACATGTCTGGACACAAGTTAGAGATAAAAAGTTTTAAAAATGCTGGGCTTGCTGACCACACAGCCCAGCTGACACTGAATTCCTGCTTCATGGAGCTCTGAGCAAATAAAGTGGAGATGTGCTGGGGAAAACCCCAACACCTGGGAGCCAGAAGAGAAAGCAGCAAGATGGTGAAGATGGTGGTAAGCTCCTGTAGCATCTCAGCCCCTTCTGCCCCAAAGCACCGCTGGGGCCAAGCCTAGGAACAGAGGAGCAGCTGTGGCCATGCAGGAGACAAGTGCCCAGGGCAGTAAGCAACAGGCAGTTTCCAGAGCCCAGAGAGGCTCCTGCTGGCGGCTCATCCCTGTCTGTCCCCTTCTCCACAGGACACTGAAAGGGAAGCTGGCCCGGCAGCACCCGGAGGCATTCAGCCGTAAGTGTGCCCCACCCCACCCTGCTTCTGCCAGTGCCTTCTGCCCAGGCTAGCTTCTGAAGGCTTCTGGACAGCTGCTCATCCAGGCTCCCGTGGGTGGTGGGAGGGTACAGGCCACAATGTCCCCTCTGGATACAGGCTTCAAGAGTGACTAGTGACAGCTCTCACCTAACACCCAGGAGCCCTTATATGGCAGGCTGTCACCAACAAGTGTGAGGTAGGGATGGAACATTCTTTCTCACAAAGGGGAAACTGAGACCCTCACGAGAGGGAAGTGATACTGTCTGGGGTGTGAATGAGGTGGAGCAGAAGAAAGGCCAGAAAAAGAAGTTATCAGGTCTATGGCTGTAATTTTGCTGGAACCCTGCCCAACATTGAGAAGGGCTGTCTGAGCTCACCTCTTCTGTTGAGTGGTCTCTGTCCACCCCAGTGACAGGTAGAATTCCTGAGGTTTCTTTTGTTTGCATTGTGGAGTTTATTTTTCTTTGTTTGTTTGGTTTGCCTTGATTTGGTTTTTCCAGACAGGATTTCTCTGTAGAGCTCTGGCTGTCCTGGAACTCTTCCTGTAGACTAGGCTTTCTATAGAACTGTCATGTTGGAGTCTGGAGGGCTAGAAGGTTCTTGAACTCAAGAGATCGGCCTGCCTCTAAGTGCTAGGAGTAAAGGCTTTTTTTTTTTTTCTTTCTTTTTTTTTCAAGACATGTTTTATGTAGCCAAAATTGGCCTTAAATTCTTTATGAAGCGAAAGATGACCTCAAATTCCTGATTGTCCTGCCTCCACCATTAGGGATGCTAAGATGAGGCAGGGCAGGTGTGGTACCTGGCCTAGGGGCCATGTGCACATGCACATACACTCAAACATAGTCTTTCTGCCTGTGCTAGCCAGCCTGGGACTTTTATTGTTTTATTTCAAGTGTTCGGTTTTCAGGCAGAATCTCACTGTGTAGGCCTCCTGCCTCAGTCTCTCATACTGAAAGGTAGATGGGCATACTCTGAGCTCACCCTCAACCTAGAGTTGTAATGAGTTGCCTTCTACTTGCCCAGGCCTTAGTTTCCTCCTCTGTGAAATGGGCCACCCTTACAGGAAGGCCTGGATCTGTGCAAGGTGACTTGACCAGCATGGGGTTCCTTCCCTAGATATCCCAGAGGGCTCATTCCTAGAAGATGAAGACGAAGACCCCATCCCGCCCAGTGTCACCACAACGATTGCCACCTCCGAGCAGAGTACGGGTTCCTGTGACACCAGCCCAGACACTGTCTCACCGTCCCTCAGTCCTGGGTTTGAGGACCTGTCACACATGCAACCTGGCTCTCCTGCCATCAACGGCCACAGCCAGACAGATGACGAGGAAGAGATGCATGGAGAATAGCCCCTCCCACCATCCCAGAAAGGCTCAGGGCAGCCCTGCTCCTCCTGGGGTCACAACCAGCCAGCTTTGCTGCCCCATTCTGTCACAGGCAGGGTCCCTAAACTCCTGCCCCTTCCCCTAAGAATGGGATTTCCCCATGCCAGCACATGCTCCCCAGTTGAGGTGGTGGGGCTGGGTCCAGGTAACCTTGAGTTCAGCCTGGGCCAGCTTTGAACAGTGATTCTACCGTCCCCACAGACCAAAGCTAGATGTCCCCCACACCCTGGGGGGCCACTGGAGGTAGAAGGTGCCAGCAGGGCTGAGCTTGTTCTTACTCACTGACAGCTGCTGGCTTAGTTCTGGCCTCCCTGCCTCTGTAGAGGACTTTTTTCCTGTCATGTTGGATTCTGGAAGGCTAGAAGGTTTGAGATAGAGGCAGCCAGACTCTGGGGAGCTGTGTTTCTCACAGGTCCAACAGGCGTCTCCAGAGCTGGCCAGCCACTTTAGAAAACAGCTGAATGGGCTATTTTTGTACCCGATGTTTACAGATGTTGGGAAGTTATCAATAAAGACTGTTCTGAACAGGGAACACTGCGCTAGTAGTGACCAGCTGTTGTCATTGGGTGTTCTGGATGTGTCCAGGGGGTCCTGCTGGAGGAAGCTGGCCAAACAGCAGACTTTATGAACTATAAGGCAGGGACGTGCCAGTCGGGGGTCCTGAGGCATCCAGGTGACCTTCTCCCCTGGCCACCTAGACACAGGAGCTAGGCTTGCACACAGCCACTACTGCATGTCATACAGCTTTTACCTGGGCTCTGGGGATTTGAGCCATCTTCCCAGGCCTAGGGCACTATTAACTGATAGTCTGCCAGGAAACAGCCTGGTGGCAGAGCCGTGTGAAGCAGGCCCCAGGCCCCAGGGTAAGCTTCATCACTGCAAAATAGTGCTAATAAAGGAAAGAAAACAGCACTAGCCCCACATGGAAGCTTAAAACTCCAACTCCAGTCCAGCACAGCTGGTGCCCTCTTTTAGACTCTAGGGCCACCAGCCATTCTAGTGACAGACACTCAAACAGGTGAACACTCATACACATAAAAGTGAATGACTCAAGAGCTAAAGGTCTCTGGCTGCCTTTGAAGAGGACCAAGGTTCAATGCCTGGATCTATGTGGAGGCTCTCAGCCATCAGGAACTGAATTTCTGGGGGACCCAGTGCCCTCTTCTGGCCTTTGCAGGCACTGCATACACAGATGTCCTTACTAGCAGGGAAAACACTCAAAAGCAGTTTGTACTGTTTGAGTACACTGAACGAACCTCTCCAGGTGTTCTCCACCTGGAGACTGACAGGAATCCAGACAGTGCCATGCTTGGCCATTATCAGAGAAGCCAACTGCAGCAGATGGGAACAGATGCACACCCACAAATGTGGGTGAGAACTTGGAACTCTTAGCCCTAAATGGGTGTCTCCATCAAATCCCTCCCCTCAGGGTTCAGGGAACCCTTTAAAAGAGGCAGCAGGAAGATTGTAACAATCTGAGGACAGAGGATGCCAAGGAAAGGAGGCCTCTCAGCACAGCATCCTAACACAGATGGCGGCATGGGCAGGGCTGCAGGGGTCCCAGTGCTGATGGGAAGCAGACACATGCCCTGTCCCTAACTTGTCTCCAAATGACAGCCATTCACATAGAGAAATTAGCTTTCTCTGACTGGATATGCAAAGCACACTTTAAGAGCAGGAGGTTTGCCTTACAGGCCTTTTGCTTGTTATTATGGTTTTCTTTGTTGTTTTTAGTTTCTTGAGACAAGATTTCTCTGCTACAGGCTTGGATTTGTAGATCCGCCTGCCTCTGCCTCCTGAGTGCTGCGATTAAAGGCTGCACCACCAGGGCCAACTGCCTGTCTGTTTTCTATGAGAGGTAAACAAAGGTGTGGACCTGGGGGGGGGGGGGGGGGTGGGGGGGGATGAGGGAGGACGGGGGGGAGGAAACATTTTGATCAGACTATATTGTTTTGGGGGGAGCTATTTTCAATTTTTAAAAAAAGTTACCTTTCCAGATACTTCCACGGTTGCTTTTTTTCCCCGATGCACAGTAAGCCCTGGGGAATACTTGGAAAAAAGAGCCACACGATCAAACTCAAGGTAATTTATCTCTCTCCAGTTATTTGTTTTTGAAGCAGGATCTCAACTATGGGCTCCTGGCTGTTCTGGAACTCTCTGTGGACCAGACCGGCAGTGAGCTTCCAGACATGCGCGGCCCTCTGCCTTCCAACTGCTAGGATCAGAGGCGAGTGCCACGACAACCCCACTCCCACTCTTTTTTTTTTTTTTTAATTTTATTTATTTATTTTATGTATGAGTGCTCTATCTGCACGTACACCTGCACGAAAGAAGAGGGCATGAGACCACATTATAGGTGGCTGTGAGCCGCCATGTGGTCGCTGGGAACTGAACTCAGGACCTCTGGAAGAGCAGAGCTGCGCTCTTAACCGCCGAGCCATCTCTCCAGCCCGACAACCCCACTCTTAAATAACAATTTTTATTACATTCATTTCTTTCGCCTGTGTGCGTCTTGTTAACGTGGGTGAAGAGCTGCAGTCGGTTCTCTTCCTCCACCTTTACCCGCTGAGTCTACTGGCCTTTGAGACAGAGGCTTACAACGAATCCCAGCCGAAGTGTGTGCTACCGCCCAGGCTACCCCAGGACTCCCCGCAGTCCGCCGGCTGGGGTGACACCTCAGAGGGGCACACCGTGTCCCCAGCGGGCCGGGAGACGCAGGCAGGCAGCGAACGGCCCTCACTCACGTGCTGGGGCGTAGCTCCTCCCCGAAGCCTCTCCTGGCATCCGGCTTCTTTTGCCAGCACCCAATATGGCGCCCGGCGAAGCCTGGGGCGGGAACGACGTGCGGCGCGGATTGTGACGTCGACGCGCAGCGTGCTCAGAGCGCAGGCGCTCTAAGAGGAGACTCGGGGGTTTCCGGTTCCGCCGTCCTCTTTCTCTTCAACGAGGCGGCCGAGCGGGTTGGTGGTGGCTTCGTCGCTGACGGGCGGGTGGCGGCTGGGCCGGGCCGGGGACCACCGAGGGGAGTGTGGTGGCCAGCGGGGGTCGCGTTGTCGCCGCGCGTGCTCTGCAGGGCTCGCCGGCGGGGCCTCGGCGCGCGGCGGGCACGCGGTAGCCCAGCCCGGGAGCCGCGGGTGGAAGGACCAAGAGCTCCAGCCTGAGCTACAGACAAGGCCTGAGCCTCTGCTGACATGCATTGGGTGCCTGGTTCCAGCGCTAGTTACGCAGGGTCTCAGAGCCAGCCTGTGTTTGAAGGGTTAAGGCTACAAAGCCTGCCTGGATTACACCTTGTTTTAAACAGTCTGCGAGGTGATGCAGTACTGTCACATAAGCACTTGCGAAGTAGATCACAGTGCGTCTAGCCTGTCCTGCTGAGAAGAAAGCTGTCTGCTGTTCGACCCGTCAGTGAGAGGGCAGAGGAGGGTCACCTGCCTAGGGTGGGAAGCAGGTGGTGGTGACTGGGAAGTTGAGACTGTCTAGTGGGGGAATACTGAGCTTCAGTCCACAGCAGGTTTGGCCTTTTGGGGGAGGGTAGGTAGCTAAGAAATGTGGAGTGGGAGACCGTGGTCCCCCCGAGCAACGTGTCACTCGTGTGTCTCCTCTGCTTAGCAGACCCCAACATGCAGATCTTCGTGAAGACCCTGACGGGCAAGACCATCACTCTTGAGGTTGAGCCCAGTGACACCATCGAGAATGTCAAGGCCAAGATCCAAGACAAGGAAGGTGGGCTCTGCTGTTCGGGTTTCCATCTTGGAGGTGGGGTGGCCCCAGCGCCTTCAGGAAGGAATGGCCAGCCTGGTTTCTCCTGTACACAGGCATCCCACCTGACCAGCAGAGGCTGATATTCGCTGGCAAGCAGCTGGAGGATGGCCGCACCCTGTCTGACTACAACATCCAGAAAGGTGAGGGCAACAGGGTGCCTGGCTATTCAGCTCTTGAGGGAGGGGAGGACTTGACGCTGTAGATGGGGCTTGTCTCTAGCAGCACGGGAGAATGAGATAAGTAGCAGGGACTGTAGGTGGTTTTGTGTTTACTTGCCAGTGGCATGTTCCTTAACTTTTTGTTCATTTGCCATTGGTATATGTGGCAGAGTCAGTTCCCCTTTTTTCCAGACAGGATTTCTCTGTGGAGCCCTTGCTGGACTGGAACTCAGAGGCCAGCCTGCCTATGCTTCCCTGAATCCTGGGCTGTTTTGTTTGTTTGTTTTTTAAGGCTAAGTCTGGAATTCCTTGTAACTCTCAAATTCCTTGTTGCTCTCAAACCCACAACGTTCCTCACACTCTTCAGATTCCGAGGTGTGCACCACCACACCTGGCCCTCTTCTAGTCCGTGTGGCCATCAGAGATTGAGCCCAAGCCACCAGATCCATCTCAGTGCCATTATTTACCAAGCCCTTAATTTGTGGGGAAATTGTTTGGTTTTGGTTTTGGTTTTGTCAGACAGGGTTTCTCTGTGTAGCCTTGGCTGTCCTAGACTTGATTTGTAGACCAGGCTCACAGAAATTCATCTGCCTTTCTGAGCCCTGGGATTATGAGTATGCAATATCACACCCATCTGTGGGCTTTTTTTTTGTTTTTGTTTTTTTTGTTTTGTTTTGGTTTGGTTTTTTGAGGCTAAGTCTGGAACTCCTTGTGAATGTTCCCCCGAGAGACACATACACAGGATTTCTCTGTGTAGCCCTGGCTGTCTTGGAACTCACTATAACAGGCTGGTCTCAAACTCGGAGGTTCTCCTGCTTCCCAAGTGCTGGGAATAGAAGGCCTGCCCAACCCCGCCACCAGACATTTTGTTTTCATTTTGAGCCGGGAAAGACTGACTGCATAGATTAAGGAGGTGTTCTCAACAGGCTGGGTTGCCTGTTCCTCTTTAAATGATCAGAGGTCAGTTTGTGGGTGTGGGTGTCACCATCTGCCTTTAGTTACTTAGTTTCTTCCCTGCTGAAGCTGAGCTTGAATGTAGAGCAGTCCTGCCTCTGCCTGACTAGGTAGGATTCTACCTACCTGGCAGCACTGTGAGCTGGCTGTGTTCTGATGGCCGACTGGGTATGGCCTCTTCTCTGCACATCTCCTGGGTTGTTTGACGAGAGCTTGCACAGGAGCCATAATGGTCCCAGCACCTCACCGTCCAGCTGCTACTTCTGGCCTCTGTAGGGTGTGCTCCTTGGGCAGCCCACCTCCATGTCCTGTGTGAGGCCCTGCCCTGCCCTGCTTGCACAGGACTCAACCTCCGCCCTCCTTGACAGAGTCCACCCTGCACCTGGTGCTGCGCCTGCGCGGCGGCATCATCGAGCCATCGCTCCGTCAGCTCGCCCAGAAGTACAACTGTGAGAAGATGATCTGCCGCAAGTGCTACGCACGCCTGCACCCCCGTGCCGTCAACTGCCGCAAGAAGAAGTGCGGCCACACCAACAACCTGCGCCCCAAGAAGAAGGTCAAATAAGGCTGGGCCACATGTGCCCATGACCCCGGGGCCAAATAAAGTCCCCTTCCATCGACTGGAGCAGTAACTGGTGTCCAAAGTGGCTGTTCTGTTCACGGGTGGGCGTCGACGGTTGGGGCTCCCATGTAGAAGGTCTCAGCTGTAGTCCAGGACTGGGACTTGAACCAGTGGATTATAAGTAGGGAAAAAACGAATTCATTCAAACTCATGTAAAGATGGAAAACACAGACAGCTACAGGGTGGTTCTGGCAGCTGCCTTGGAACCCATATTCCAGTCCTCAGTCTGGCCCCATCATGCCCACGGGATCTTGCGTTCACATAGTCTCAGCTCAGACCATAGTTTAGGGTCTGTGGAGGTCTGGCTCACCTAACTGTATGCCATTCAAGTGCAGGTTAGCTCACTGAGCCTATAGGCCAGCCTTCCTGCCCCTCAGGCACCACCATGGGGGTCTTCACTCCTTCCAGCATTGGGACACAGGCCCGCACTGCAGTGCGCACACTTTATGTGAGTCTGGAGGCCTGGCCATCTAACCTATGTAGTCTTGGAGCCTGAAACTCCTGCCCAGCCTGGAGAGTGCTACACTGGCTATAGCCACGGCAAAGATCTACCATTCCTCACCCTGGACCGAGTGGGTTTGAACCTGTTGCCAACAGCTTGCAGTCTTCAGTGCAGTTGTGGTCACCATTATGTCCCTAGTGCAACTTGGGGAAGGAGCCTTTGAGAGCAGTGTCTTTCCTGCCCCGGGCTCCCACCTTAAGGTGTTTGCACAGATCCATTGTACTTTTTTGGGTGTTGGGAGGTTTCTATATTGGGTCTGTAGCTCTGGTGGTTCTGAAACTGCAGACCAGGCTGGCTTCAATCTAGAGATAGCCACCTGCTCCTACCTTCCCGCTGCCGAGATAAAGGCATGCACCACCATAGCCGGACGCTCCATCTGTATTTCAGAGGGTTATCGGAATGGATGTGTAGCGCGTACTCTCCTTGAGATGTAAAAGAGGGCTTAGGATCTGCCTGCCTGGACTGAGTTACAGATGGCGCGGCCACGTCGGTCCAGTAACAGGCACCAAAATGTCGCTCTAGGCCCCAGCTACATTTCGCTAATACAGCCTTGCAGAAGTGTAGGTTAGCACCTGTGACCTTAACTGCGATTGTGACCCCGGGGCCAAATAAAGTCCCCGCGTGTCTCGAAGATTAGGCGGATGCACACAGTCCTGGAACTGCCTAGATAGAACTGTTAACTATAGGAAGGTGGCCAAGTGCGCGCGGGTTGTTCGTGAACCTCCTGGCCGGCAGGGGGCGCGGCGGCCGTTCTCAGGCGCCGCGGGACTGCGCAGTCATGTTCACCGGCGCGACGGAGGTGCCGGCTCCTGCGGAGCCCGCGTGGGCCTGGGTGAGCGCGGACGGGCGAGCGCGGGGCGGCGGGGCGGGCTCGGGGCTCCGGCTTCATGGTTCCACGCCCCCGTAGAAAGATGCCCCGATCTCCACGCTGGTGCGGAGGATCCAGCAGCTGCAGAATGAGCGCGCGCAGGCCTTCCGCCGCCTGGACCAGTGAGTTGGCTGGGCTGGAGGGGGCGGAGCCTGGGGGAGCTCGCCATAGTGGGACCTCCGATAGGCCACTAAGGGCGCGATGTGGGGGAAGGTGGCTGGGCGCGGGACTGAGGGCCCAGCTGACTGACTGGTATGGCTGAGGACCCAGGTGTGGAAGCGGTTGGAGGGCTGCCGAGGTCTGATCCGGAGGGCAGAGCGTACTCGGGAGGCGTGGTCCAGGAGGGCGGGACAGCCCCGGGTGGGTGACTGGGGGTGTGGTCGGCAGAACCAAGGTAAAGCAGAACGCACGACTGTGGGCAAGGTACGGGAGAAGGTGGGGAGTGGTTCTGAGGGGACGTGACCCGCAGCCTCAGCCCACTCTTCACGAGTGCAGAGATGGGCCGGCTCTAGGCTCTGACCTCACAGCAAGTCCTCCGGTCTGTGGGGCTTAGGTTCAGCGCCTTCGAGTGGGGTGCATCTTCCAGGTGGCTGGAGCAGGGGTTGTGGTCTGTGAGTCAGGGGTGTGGGTTCAGCATCCTCCCCGCCTACCGCAGAGCTCACCGCCAGTACTTGCTCAGTGGCCTGCACCATGACTTCTTTCCTCATTACCGGAATGTCGTGCACGAGGTGACTCAGGCCTTCGCCGCCGCCTCACGGGAGGTACTGGCGGTGGAAGCGGAGCTGGCGGGGCCTCGCTCGAAGCCGGTGCTCGCCCACCACGTGCGCAGCCTGCAAGAGCTGGAACAGACTCGCCTGGCTACGGTAAGACCACCACCTCTCCTTCAGAGCCGGGCCTGGGCCACTCCCGGCCACTTTCTGCCACCTACCTCGATGGATTTGAGCCCTCTCCTGCTGTCTCCTGTCTGCCTACATTGCTCTCATACCAGCCCTCCAGAAAGCTAACCCAAGAACCCCAGGGTCCAACGCTGCACACACTGTGGCTCTTCAGGCCCCTCTTCAACTCTGGGTTATCACTGTTGTGACCCACAGCTACTTCTTCCACAAACAACCTCAGAAGCTTGGCCCTTGACCCCGATCTCAAGGCTGTACCTACCCTGACCCTTCACTAGTGCAGAAGTGATTTACCCACCGAAAGCCACGTCCATACCGCTCTTTGGTCTGGAATTCATAGTGCAGAACCACAAATTCTGACTTGAGTCCCAGATTTTTTTCCATCCTGGAATTCATAACTCCCTGTCCCAGCACTGGGGTGGAGGCCACAGCTGCCATACCTGCCAGCATTCCATGGCTTTTCCAAGCTGTGACTGTATTCTGTACTGCTCTTCCACAGGAGAGTCCTAAAAGCGGACCATATCCTCCCTCCTACTCAAGCTCTGTTCTCCTAGGCTCCTCTCCTGGCCTGCCTTCCCTCTGTCAGTGTGGGGCTTTTACCTATTGCGATTCCCATTTCTCCCTCCAGGTGGCGCTGCTGCAGGTGATGGCAACACCAGGAGTGTCTAAACAGGAGGATCCTGAAAAGTTGCGCGAGCTGAAAATGAAGTGAGCCCTCTGGGCCCCCTGTCCTGACAGCTTAGATTGGCATCTTACAGCCACGGTTGGCCTATCGCCGAGCCAGTCAGAGGGCGCTCTGACCTGCACACTGGTGTCCCCAGAAGCATGCATCCCAGGATGTGCATGTCTCCTGCAGTTTCCGAGGCTGTCGGGAGTTTGAACATGGCCACAGTCACACTTGTTCCCCTGTGTGAGCCCCTGCAGGTCTATCACAGGTCTCCAAGCAGAGGCAGTGATGCACAAACATACCAACTTCTTAGTGGCATGCACCCCTCCCCCCACCATGGCCTTTCCCATGAGCCCACTGTGACCCACAGAGCCACCCCGCCTCCTGGGCATGCTCCCAGGCTAGGCTTGAGGTTTGGCAGCACGCAGGAGGGCCCAGGGCTTGCCATAGGCCCCCTCCCCACTAGCTGTGCAGCTTGGCTAATTCAGCCCATCTGGGTTTTATTTATAGTTTCCATCCGCTCTTGTAGGGTAATTAAAACCATGGAGGCGATCAGCGAGGTTCTGCAGGAACTCAGGTTTGATGCAGAATCTGCCGAGTGAGGGCGGCTCCCCAGGGACCAGAGGAAGATGGGAAAAGAGGCCCATGGCGTTCCGCCCAGCCCTGACCGCCAGCTGGCTGAGGTCGTGCCCCACCGGGCTGCCTCCAGTGCGCCTCACGCAATAAAGAATCCTCCCTCTGCAGCTTTCCCATCAGCTCTGTATCTTGGGGTGCAGGGATCGGCGATCCTGGGGAAGGGACTCCCCAGGGGAACAGGGAAAGCGGGTGGAAGATTGCACACCCCGAAGAGTTCAAGACAGATAGTCTGGTGTCCTGTAAGACAAGACTGCAGTTCAGAGGTGAGAGGTGTGCTAGTCTCTGACCACCCAGGCCCCCAAACACACACAGAGGAACCTGAAAAACTCATTTATTTAAGAGACCCCTGGAGGGCCCTGGGTAGCCTGCCCACTCTGGGGTGCACCCGAGCTTGACCCGTCATGTGAACCAGAGCTGTGGCGTTTCTTTGGTGCCCCGGAATGACAGTACAGAGGGGCTGCAGTTGGAATGAGCCTCCAGGTCTGCATGTGGCAGGAGGATGGCCTGTCCTTTAGAGTCTATCCGGCAGGACCTGAGGACAGAAAACAGGTTCCACTAAGCCTGGAGCACAAGAGTCTGGACAGGACTCCCTGTCCCCTGGGTGATCAGGCAGTGAAGCCTGAGGTGCCTAGACGGGCTGCGTGCTCAGAGGAGAGCTCCCCTCAACGTCATCAAGAGTGGGAGGACGCCTCCTCTACGCTGCCCCAACCCCGCCCACCGGGACCCCCGTACCTCTCGCCGCGCCCCGTCTGCCCGAGGACAGGATCCCCTCATCCTGTGCTTGGAAAGAAGAGTGCAGTGTTGTGGAGGCTGCACATCCGGGTCCCTCCTCAGCTTCCGCACCCCCACACAAGCCTCCCCCGCTTTCCTACCTGGTTTCGGGTCTTATGTGACTTCTGCATCCAAGCACGCCACTGGTCGTACAGGCGGAAGCTAAGGTTCGAGCAGTACGCGTGCTTCTTGAGCCAGCCGAGGAACTGCTTGAGCTCGCGCCGCACCGGGCCCGAGCTGGGCTCGCCGCCCCGCGGCTCGCACACCCCTCCGCCCGGGCCCGGGCGCTCTAAAGAGAGTGGAGCGGCAGTGTTGGGGCTCAGCCGGCAGGGGGCGCGCACGGGCCCGCAGCCTCCCGTACCGGGCCTGGCGGGGGCCCGGGCAAGTTGGGCCGGGTGTCACCCAGCCGGATGGAGACACACAGGGACCCAGGCAAAATAAGACAAAGACCGAGAAAGCAGAGGTTCTGGGGCTGTGCCCCCAGTCACTGGGAGGGAGAGGGGCCCCTCGTGCGCGCGTGGTAGCGCGAGCCTGTCATCCTGGCACTTGGTAGGCTGAGGCAAGATTGTTGAAATTTAAAGGCAGCTGGGATTACCTGTGACTCTCCAAAGAGGGGAGGAAGGGGCTGGGGAGGTGGCCGAGGGGGCTAGCCTCCAGCCCTGGTCCCACATGGTGGGAGGAGCCTACTCACGAAAAAGTTCTGACCTTCACGCGAGTGCTGTGGCACACTCGCTCACGAAGGCACAGCATACAAAAGCAATTTCAAAAGTTCAACTATATTAAAATGCAAAAAAACATTAATAATAAAAGGCTCCTGGAAAGTGGATGACAGTTGTAGGAGACGGAGGCAGACAGCAAAGATAAGCCAGAGAGAATGATCCGGTGTGACAAGGCGTGGGGCTGGGAGGGCCAGGTAGGAGGCCAACCCCTGGGTCCAACCCCCAGCCGCAGCCATCCCCAGGCAGACCAGCGGATAAGGACATCGGCCTCACGTCATAAATAAAACTGGGGACTCGTTGACAGCCCCTGGCACAGCCTCGGCCCCCACAGCCCCTGCCGGCCTCCCCCACCCTACCCCCGGCCTCCCCAGTCTCCCGGGCGGACACAGCCGCCTCCTGGCTCCCGTGCAAGAATCGCAGGTGCTGGGCACGAGCAAGGGCCAGAGCTCCAAGGCTCCGGCCCCTCCCGGCTGTGTTCACTCCCGCCCAGCCCGGAACCTGGAGGGGCCCAGATGGGGGCTGGAGAGCTTGCTGGAGCTGGTTCTGACCCTCTCTTCCTCCAGGACTCTCTGGACCTCAGTTTCCCCATTATCCCCTCATCACCAAACTGAGCATGTGTCTGAGTTGGGGGTTTCAGTGTCCTCGTGGAAGAAAGAGTGCTCTCTCTGTCTTGGGGGGCTGATGGAAGGGGTTAGGGGATAGGAGCCTTCTCCTCTCCTGACTGCAATACTGTAGGGTGGGCACCGGCCTTGGACCGTGCTACCCAAACCTGGCAGATGGGGAGACTGAGGCCAGACACTTCAAGCAATGTGTGTCATAGAATAAAAGGCAGGTCCAAGGGCTCAGGAAGTCTGCAGGGCAAGGGAATCATCTTCAGGCCCTCCCATTTACAGAAAGGGACCCAAAAAAAAGAAGTAAGGCTCATGGCCAAATACTAAGGCAGCCTAGGCTACTTTAAATTAAGGGTTGGAGGGAAGGCCCAGCGGTCGAGACCCCTCCCCATGGCAGGCACAAGGCACTGTGGTCTATGGATTGTGTGGGTGGGGCCAAGGGATGACTGGCTGTAATGTTCTAGTTTATGTACAATTAACTTTTCTAGAGAGTCTAGAATACTTGGGTAGAAACAGCCCAGTTTTCCGTTCTCTTCCAACAGGTCACATTGTTCTCCACCCCTCCCCAAATGTCAGGCTTAAAGTGTGACATGGCTAATCTCATGATTGTGGTGGTCATCACAGCATCCTGTCTGGAAGGGGAGATAGGAGGATCAGGCGTTCAAGCTCATCCTTGACTTGAGTTCAAGGCCAGCCTGGGCTACCTGAAGACCCTGTGTCAAAAATGAGAAGAGAAGAGACAGGCGGACGGAGGTTCCCGCGCCGCCATCCAGCCTGGGGAGGCGCTCACCACTTCGCGGGGTGGAGGCAGCAGTGGCGTGGCTCCACTCGCTCCAGATTCCCGCCTTTTTCGACCCATAGATCCCGAACGGGTTACAACGCACTTGGACGAAGTACACGGTGCCGGGCTTCAGGCCCGCAAGCCGGCAGGAGGTCTGGTTGCTGACGTCATCCACCACCTGCACAGGGAGGGCGGGGTCAGACGCGAGGGGCGGGGCGAGGGGCGGGCCCGGGGCGGGACGGGCACCTTCCAGTCCACGCTGTCCTCCACGCGGTAGCGGATCTGGTACTTGGCTTGAAAGAGGAAATCCTTGAGGGCGGGTGGCGAGACCCAGCGCACACTCAGCTGGTCCTCCAGGCCCCCAACGCGGCTCACGTGCACGTCAGGTGGGGGGTCCGTGGTCACTGGGGGTGGAGCAGGCCTGGTCACTGAGGTGTTTTTGTTGTTTTTGAGACAAGGACTGTGTAGCCCTGCTGGCCTGGAACTCCCTATGTGGATCAGGCTGGCCTCGAACTCACAGAGATCCTTCTGCCTCTGCCTCTCCTAATGCTGGTAATGATTAAAGGCTGGCAACAGTGGGTCCAGGCCTGAAGACTGCTTGGTGAGAATTGTCTAGGAACAGGTCTCCCAGTGGTGTGACCTATGCTGCAGTGGCTCCTGGGACAGCTGCCTGCATTTGCGGCACACACCTGCTGTCTACTCGCCCAGGCCTGGCAGACCACTGTCATTTAATATTCCAGAAACAGCCAGCAACCGGGACTGTGAGCTGCTATCACCGTTACGGTCTCTGATGGAAGACACACAATCCTATCCTCGGAACGACAGAGCAGCAAGCCTGTCCAGCTGGGGCGCAGCTTAGCAGCAGAGCTCTCGCTAAAGAGGCCCCTGGGAGGCTCTCCCTGCCCCTCAGACCCCGAGAGTTTCAGTACCACTGGCTGGCAGCGCTGCTGTTTTGGGCCAGGGTCTCACTACGTGGCCCAGGGTGGCTGCAGCAACTGTGGTCTTCCTGCGTAGGCCTCCTGAGTGCCAGGATGGCGAGGAGCTTTACTGTTTCACCCCACACGGTGCCATTTGGCTCCATCCCCAAGCGTCCCTGCCCCATGCCCACCTCTGTTGCCCTGTCCGTTACCAACGCCTAAGTGGAGCAGTTGTGGCAGCCACAGGGACCAACCCAGGGCTAGATGGCACTTCAGGATGCCAGGAAGACACAAGCGCTCTGGGCAGTGGAAACAAGCCTGGGGTACCCAGGGACCCTTCTGGGGAACGACAGAGAGAGCACACGGTGCTCTCTCTCCCCCCAAGTCATCAGTGAGGCACTGAAAGGGTTAAATGGCCCAGGCTGCTCTGGGCTGGGAACACCCTAATTAGATTAGGTCCAATTCTGCTCAGGGATCATCCACTTCCTGCCTCCCACCCTCGCCCCCCAGCTCCAGGCCTCAGCTTCCTGGGGCTCCTCCCGACCTGGGCGCCCTCTCCTTTGTCCCCCAGGACTCCCTCCTGAACACCTGGGCTGCTGGGAGGGAGGGTGTTCTGGCCAGGTGTTTTCTGCAGAGTGGGGAGATCCTGACTGGCTTGGGGAGTGTCTGCACCCAGCTGTAGCCACCCACTGCCCTGCAGCCGCCAATGCTGGGGCATCAGATGCCGAGAACAGTCAGCAGGCTCGGGGGAGGCTCTCATTCACGGAGACACACCCAGGGCCACTGCTGAGGGCCTCTACTGGACCCCCAATGGTTGGGGCTCACCCACGTCCAGGACGTCCAGGGTGAGCACGTCAGATCTCGCCGAGCCCAGGCGGTTGCTGGCTTCTACCCAGATCTCATAGGGAGTGAAGAGCGCCAGGTCTCTGGGGATGTGGCAGGAGTGGGGACCCACAGTGTGGTATTCCTCACAGGTGTTGTCCTGGCCATACCACCTGTGGAGGCAGGAGAGTCCCCTTTGAGTCCTTAGACGTGGTTTCTGAAGTCCCTGGATCCAACAGGAACACGTTTGATCAGAGAAGGCAAGCGTCTGCCTGAAGTCACACAGCAAGGCTGGCCTGGGCACCGACCTCAGCTTGTACTTGAGCGAGTAGTTGGTGTGTAAGAACGTCTCCCCACGTGCACCCGGGGTCCAGCGGCAAGTGAGGTCTTTCATGTTCCGGGACCAGCAGCTGATGTTGAAGGGCTTCTCAGGGGGGACTGCAAGAGAACGATGACAGACGGATGCAGGGCTGCAGTGCCCGTCCG